TGGGATTATACGTTTGGAACAGGTAGTTCATTTGTTGCTCGCGACTACTACGTACACACGGGCCGTAGAATTTCTATTTAGCAACGCGAGAGTAATGATAAACGACGCTACCGTATTCGCCTGGTTGGCACGCTTAACCTTTCAGCCACGCGAGCCGAGTAAAAGGTAAATAAAAACAAGCACTCACCATAGTCGATGGATTGTTGCTGCTGTGGCGCGAACTGCGACGTACTATTGGCCGGCGTGACTCTGAACCTGAACCGCTCCATTCTTCGCTAACCTCACAAACACCAGCACCAAACAACACCGAACAACCTCTCTCGCACCGTCAGTTACTCTATCCGCACACGGCTTATTTCAAAGGCACGCGAACCGCGCGATAAGTTAGCCGGGGATGTAGCTCAACGACCAAACACCCGCACTTTCGTTTACGACGATTGGCGAACGCGTTCTCCATTCGCCGGTGCGCTGTTACAGGCTTCTGCTGGCCGCGCTGTGACTGTGTACCACTGACAACACACCACGAGGAACAGACAGACGGCCAGACAGGGGTCGAGCGAGAGAGACGACGAGGCAGTCAGTGGAAGGAGGGGGGAACGTAGCAACTGCGAATGATAGAAGGAGGAAAAGAAAGAGCAGAAAATCGGTGATCTCTGTCGCACTCGCCGCTGTCCATACGCAGCAACCGCGCCTCTTGTCTCGTGCCCGGCACGTTTCGTCGAATTCCGACCCAACGTGCAGCGCGTGCTGTTCGCGATAACGTCGCGTCCGATCGCGCGTCAACTCGAAGGGGTATCCGAACAGAGCCGCGTGCAAACGCTGCCAAAGCACGCCACTTTTTCTCTCTCTCTGTCCGTCTCTGTCGCTCCTGTTCTGCCTCTCTCGCGTCCGCGTGAGCAACGACCGCGCTGCGTTTAGGATACCGTCTGCGCTCCACGCGCTGACACAAGGCCTACTCGTGGCTTCGGCCTGATCGGCCGTTTTATATATGTGTGCGATACTCACGCGTGTGTGCACGCCCGTACGCCAGGGGGCCCCTCGATGCGACGCTTCTGCCGGCTGTCGAGCATGGGCGCCACGACGGGGGCACCCACGTGTGCGTGCATCCACACCGGCTTTCCCCAGGACCGTAGCAATCGCGAAACTACCCTCACTGGCCTGCCATTGGCTGTCACTGCACGATGGTAGGAGGAACGTCGTGTTGTACCAGGGATCTGAAAGGGTAGAGGAAATTGCCACGTTTGTTTCTCGTATTGAAAAGGTTTTCGTGTTAGAGGCTTTTATCGTGGGATTGGTTGTTTGCCGCAAGTGGCGATGGGAAAGGGGAGATCGAAGAATGGGCGAAGGCGGTGGTTGGTTATGGAAGAGAAACGCAAGGTGTCGGAGATGTAACGTAGCTTAGGGCAACCAGGTATTCTACCAAGTTCGAATACGAAGAATCAATACTAGCAACGATAATTCGTATTTGCTAATTTGCTCGCGGAGCAATTCGGGAGATTAAGTTCCGAGCAGATAAACAGCGTAGAGAAAACGATAAGGGTATATTGTGTAACTTTTGTCGGTATAGTATCGCGAAGAGTTTTTCATTTTCTTTCTCGTCTTCTCTCTTGTCAGAGCTTCTAAACGCGATAAGAGCGAACTTTGTTCCACGTTTCTTGGCAGCGCTCCAAAATTCCCGTCACTCGAATTATTTCCATTCGACGAATTGGCAGAATTCGATTAACCGCGGCTAACTCGCAATCGTATTGTTAATCTCCAGTATTCCGATGAAACTGCGTTCGTCCTGGTAATTGCACACTCGAAACTTTTGACAAAGTGCGCGCAACAATGAATCACGGAGTTATTGCCACGGACAGTACACGAGTACACCCACGTGTATGCGTGCATCTACGCCGGCTTTTTCCAGGAGCGTATCTCCGCCGCCGCATGCCATCCTCCCTCCCCGGTTTCGCGCCTCGACAACGAATATAACTTCTCCAGCTCTGATTCCGGTGGTCAATGTCCTTGCGAGAACGAGACCACCTCGTTTCCGGCCACCGTATATTTAGAGACGTATTTACAATGCAAATGGCCACGCAGTCGCGGTCTCGTCGCAGAAAAACCGAAAGGGACGTTGGCGCGTGGGTATTGATTATCGCAGAATCTCTTTAAGTGCGCTGAGAAATGCTCAAACGCGTAATTGGCGATCGGATTTTTATCCGAGAGATAAGCAGACGATTATCATCGAGCCTCGATATCGATGCTCGATCAACGTGAGAAGAAAAAGGCACGAATTTTGCCGACAGTCCGTTCGGCCACGCACAATCGTACCTTTCATTGGTCACGTGAGTGCATTTCGCTCATTGCGAACATTGTACGCGTGCATTTGTGTCCAATATTTCAGGGTTACGTTACTGTGCTACGGCGATAACGCAGTTGCAACTGTGTACATACACGATTACTACGTTTTCGTGCACAGTGTGGTGAGTAATCGCGGAACTTCATCGGTTGCCTGTATCCTGTTCTAGGTGGCAGCAGGAAACGGAAACCTTTCCTTCGGGAAAATTCCACCGCGCGTATTGCGTTGCATCTCGGTCCTTGCCAAAGGGTTAGCACGATACACGAGCAAGGCCAGTCTCAAAACGAAATCGAACTTTTCGAAATTCGAACATGGATCTACTCTAACGAATATAGTTATCGCTCGATTCGCTATCGTGAATTAAGGCTCGCTGTTTATACGAAATTACTCGGGTCTTATCAAACGTAATTCGGCCTTTCCTCGTATCGCAATTTAATTACCCATTGAAATATTGCTTCCATTTGACGACGTTTCAACGGAACGATAGCGTAGGCGTTGCTCGTGATAAACGCCCCTCTAAACAGCAAGGTGACGTTCGAGTAAGTTTTTAAAGGTTGTGCACATCGCGAGCGAGTCCGATTGAAGCTCTGAGAAATTCGCTCGGCTACCAACGGGAGGTAAAATCCATCCTGGATTGAAAAAAAGTTTGTCCAACGGCCGATATCCGAGAAGCGATTTTTTTTTTTTCTTTTTTTGAGTCACGTTACCGTTTTTCATGGCAAATGCAGAAAAATGGAAGCGTCGCTAAAGGTGGACTGTGCTTTAAGCGTGCACGTTTTAGTGTATTTTCCTTTCTCGTAGAAATCCCTCTTTCCGTAACGAGGACACGATTTACGAGTTTAAAACCTGACACTGCAAAATATAAGAAGCTCATGACAAGTAGTCGGATATTAACAGCCTGGGAGCCGGCATCATACGTTCGTAAGACATTTTATTTGCAAGAAAAATCGCATTAGCATTTCAAATGCATGGAAATCCTCGACAAAGTGTGCCGCTTTAATGCAAAAGCTACAGCCAAAGCTAGAAGTCCTTGGGGTTCGCGTATTCTCGCGTTCCACTGATAATGCAAATCCATTGTCACGTTCGTTGCTTTTGTTCGGTCTTATGAGATATGTGTGCATGCACACGTATACGTGCAACGTTGACAACACATTTTCAAAAGTGCGAAAAATTCGAGTGCTATATACGGTTTATCGATTTGTCGGTTCGGATACCTTAACTTGTTAATCCTACGTTAAATATCGATCGTACCCTTGCCCTGAGAAATAGTGGAAAGTGTCGGAGTCGTTGAGCAGCGATATCCTGTGATGATAAAACGTACAGTAAAGATGGTAAAAAGATGATTCAGAGGTCAGTGAAACGTCTGCAATTTTCCGGTCTTTGTGCACTTAAGGTCGACAAGCTTTCATTCGACGTGTTGCGATCGAACACGAGAGATTCGAAGGGAGGCACAAACAGGAATTGGCTGGTCGATGCACCTTAGCGTTCAAGGCATCGTGGAACGCAGGGGAAGACGACACATCTGCGCTGTGTGTGAATTTTTTTTCCAAGCCGCCGAGAAAACACATTCCTCTTTCTCTCTCTGTTGCGCTCGACGTTTTACCGAAACAGCTGATCGTTTGCCCTTTTAATTGCATCGCGGCTGGGTGCGTCGACGCCGCGGTAAGTTGCTAGAAATTTCAATAAAAATTCGGCATAGTGTTGGCTCGTTTAGTGGGACAATCTTGTACGGTAAAGCGTGCCTGTGAATACGGTCGAGTGTTTCGTTCCTCGGTGTACGGTAAGTGCTACTACTTCAAGCATCTTTTGTAGGTTAGGAAGCGCCTTTCGCCTTTAAAGCGCCATACACAATGTTCCGCTGTATCATTTGCGTACGTGGACATAGATGAGACGTATTGTTCTTTCGTGAAAAATAATTACGAGTTTTCTAAATATTTTTCTAGTCGTGACCCTGTTAGTGTGATCGTTGTACAAGCAGGATGTTATCGTGTGACTCGTCGAATATCATTTGTGATACGACGCCTGAGCTTGTTGCAGTTTCCATCGTTTACTCAGTTACGAAGAATTAACGAAATAAATCATGTTTTAGGTCAATGTTCAGTGCTTTCTCTTCTTAGTTATGTGCTGTTGAAAATGATATGGTGGGTTTTATAAACAAAGTGACACTGCATGCGTAGTATGAAAACGCCGGTATAGTTGAAATTTACTCACGTACAATGGTATTGCAAATGTTTCTATAGTAGATTCTGTAGTAGATTGATGTTCATTGGAATTTGAAAATATCGATATAATTTGAGTATTTGGAATGTTGTTCCAGCTAGCATGTTGAAAAAGGTTAAAGTATGCTGTCAGATACGTCTAAATTTGTTGTAATTATGTCGTTGATATAGATGAAAGATTCAGTACCTGTTCCATGTCGGAAGAAATGTATCTTGGAAAGCGTATAAACCAATTTTTTTCATGTTTTGATGCAAATAGAGAATAATAAAGGTATGTTTGAACGAATTTGTAACGCGCGCTTCTTCAAACGACGCGGCGCCATGACGGTGCAGCTGGCGAATAAACGTTCGGGCGGGGGAAACGAAAGACATGCATCCACCATAACGGCTTGGAGCTCTGTGACGTCTTCAATGGCTGCCGCCGTGTTGTCTACATACGTAACGGAGCGCGGTACTATCGCAAACCGCGTTCCGTGGTGGTTTACGACATAGTGTTTACTGTTTATTGTTAGAATATTCTATCAGGCTGTGGGCCGACGTGCAAACCATGGGCTCGAAGAAACATAAAAAGCACAAGCGCGAACGGCACGAAGGTGAGAACCGGGATAGAATCTCGATGTATCTCGGTCGTCTTATCGTCGTTTCTGGTTACTTTTAATTATTTCTTAATATAATTCTGGTATCATAGGTCGTCGCGTTATTATGTGCCACATACCGAATAGTACATCGTTTTATACACTGTGCACCTAGCAATGTACGAAACGCACCTCGAATTCAAAAAGCGTTACAACTATCGTCTCAATGTGATATTTGTTTTTACGTTTGTTGATCAAATTATGTTCGCGTTGACAGTTCGTTGTTACGTTATCAGATGTTTTCGTTATGAACTGTATTTTTGACGTATTATATATAAAAGTAACGGGTATCTTTGATTTCTCAAATATTGCAATTTGTCCTCATTTTATTCTATTTAATGTTTCTCCATTTATTATTAATAATCAATTTTTGCATTATTGGTTATTACTGTAATGCTGACATTTGTGTCAGTCACATGAGGATTCAAATGAAAAGAAGATCTATAAATATATGTTCGAGCTATAGATTCTCAGAGAGTCATAGAGTACGTGGATCTTAATTGGCTGAAATTTTCTAACATTTTCATTAGAATCCTTTTTGTACTCATAGTTTAATAATGCACAGGAATTTTGACTACGTTTTCACCACGGACAAACTGAGAGTGAGGTTGGAGTAGAAGTGAGGTGGATGCAAAAGTATAAACGAAGGTTCCATAGCAACAGGTGCGACGTGGAAGTAAGTGACGTGTAACAACGAACATGGACTGGTTGCACGACAGAAACTAGTTGTGCTTCCAAAATTACTCAGATGTCCCAATCCCCTTTAATTTTCTATTTTTTTTTTTTTTTTATCTATTACAATTAGTTGAAGTGCAACAAGATCCTTCATGAGTTAAATTTGTTACTATTTTTCTTGAAGTCTTGTTGGGATCCATCTGGGATACCGTTATATCTGTTGCACTTCAATCCCTTAGTTCCCTGGCTGTTATGTATTATGGCATCAGAAAGGCCATATATGCTTTTGCTTTACCTCTTTAAGAGGTATTTTCAATTTCGACAGTTGCTCCTTCCTCAATTATTCCTGCAGATTCAGTCGATCAATGCAACAGTAATTATTTTATTGTATACTTCTATCAAGGTTTATTTAATTTAAGTCAAGCTACTTCCATCTCGCTTCCAGTTTGTTGAATGTGAAAACAAGGTCACTGTCCTGTTATAAAATCTTCTTTATTATTATTGTTGTTGTTGTCATTATTATTATTATTATTGTTATTATTATTATTATTATTATTATTATTATTATTGTCATCGTTGTCGTCGTCGTCATCACCATCACACCATCATCACCACCACCACCACCACCACCACCACCATCATCATGATCATCATCATCATCATCATCATCATCATCATCATCATCATCATCATCATCCATAATCATCATCATCATCATCATCATCATCATCATTATCATCATTATCATCATCATCATCATCATCATCATCATCATCATCATAATCATTATCAATATTTCCCTTTACCTTTCTGTTCATACCCTGTAGATTTTTTGTTAATTCAAAACTATAATTATTTTTTCATAATCCTGCAAGATTGTATAATACAATATTTGACACTATATTTCTATATTGCAACACTATGCTGTGATTCTATACTTCTATATGATTTTCTGCAAGACATTTTTGTTGCATGCTCTAGATATTATTTATAGCTTAATGCTTTAATGTCTTCATATATTTAAGATAGATTTTCATGTGTTATAAATATATTTTTCTCTCTTCTTTTTAGCTGAAGGGCACTATACAACCACGGATAAACCCTGTACCATAAAATTAATTTTAAAGGTTGGGGGTAACAGTGGGACACCTGAATACGGTAACGAATCTCCGAATCAGGCACCAATGTTGTCCCATTTGGGTGTTTACCAACAACAGTTGGGTCTCAACTGTTCTGTAACACAGGAATCCGAATATGATAGGTATATGGGGCATAAAAAGCTTAAAAAGAAAAAGAAAAAGAAGGATAAAAGGCACAAGCATCATCACAAAGATAAAAAGAGAAGAAGAGAGGAATCGAGTCAAGAATCAGTTGGAGATGCTGATGAAAGCTTGGCTGAAATCCCTAAGAAAATTCCTAATCATCAGTTGTTACCTCCAAGACCACCATCAAGTGGAGAACATAGAGTTGGTGTTACCACTCATATTAGTTCTCTGTCGCCACATCGTGAACCTAGAACTTGTGTACTTAGGAAGATTGCCGAGCGTACTCCACTCCAACGATTATTAGAACACCTTCTTAGATCAATGGAGAAACGAGATCCACAGCAATTCTTTGCGTGGCCAGTCACAGATAGCATTGCACCTGGATATTCTCAAATAATTACTAATCCCATGGACTTTAGTACTATAAAGCAAAAAATAGACGATAATAGTTATCAAAATTTAAATGAATTTATAGAAGATTTCAAACTAATGTGTGATAATGCTACCACGTACAACCATCCGGATACCATTTATTACAAAGCAGCAAAGAAATTGTTACATGTCGGTTTAAAGATGGTTACACCAGAAAAGCTTCGTCAGTTAAGACCTGTTCTAACTTACATGCAAGATATATCGAAGGAAGAACTTGGATTTGAGTTAGGTACAGAAGATCCTAATAATCCAGATGTTGCAGTAACCGAGGAGCAAATCGAACGAGAACGGGAACAGGAAGAACGTAACGAAGAAGCCGAGGAACTTAGGAAAGAGAACCAGAGGAAAATGAGATTAGCAAATTTGGGTAAATTTGAAGCCATTCCGGATGACATGACGCCAGAGGAAATCTTGAAACAAGCCCGAGGAGCAGCAAAAGCGGCATCCGAAAAGCTAACGTTAAAGAGGTTGAATTCTAAGATGGGTTTCCTTAGGCAGAAGAAAGATGGAACCACCAGCTTACAGATTATAGTACCGGGAGATGGCGTGATCCCAGGAACTAATCAAAGACCAGTATCATTAGGTCAACTTATAGGTAAATTGAATCACGGTACAGGAGCGTTAGCAGGATTTCGTGAGGATAGAAGAAATATGTCAAAACCGGTGAAACCTTTATACTATGGTGCCTTTGGTTCTTATGCTCCAAGTTACGATTCCACGTTTGCGAATCTCACAAAAGAGGAAACAGACTTAGTATATCAGACATATGGTGATGAAACAGCTGTGCAATACGCAGAATCCATTTTAGACTTTGCTAAAGACTGTGATTATACGTTAACTATGGTCGATGATCTGTTGGACATTCTAACAGGGGGAGATCATAGGAAGACCAAGAAGTTCCTTGAGGAAAAACGAAGACTTAAAGAGGAAGAAGAGAAGATAAAACATTTGTTAGAGAAACCTATGCAAGATGTAAACCGTAATATTCCAGCATTGGACAATGTTAAAGTTGACATTGATCAACTGAAGACTCTGTCAGAGTTAGGAATTGATGTTAATTTCTTGGAGAATATAGGTAATTATATTTTGAAGTATTCATAAATAATTGAAGTATTTATAAATAATAGCATAACATCTTAAACTTTATCTTATTTGCAGAGGATGACGTGAAGGTTAACGAGGAACGCGCAGCTTTGCAAAGTCGATTGGACGATACGTCACAAATGTTAGGTCGTTTGAAACAAGTGCAGCATGAGAGGCTCTCAGCTCCACCACCTGCACACTTGACGAATGTTCCAAAACCTTCAGAGACAGAAGTAGCGATAGCTGACAAGATCACCGATAATTTAACAGAAATAGCGAAGAAACTTCCACCTTCAGCTATCGCACCCGTAGATGGTTTGCGAAGAGCTATGGGCATCGCACCTCTTGGTGGACCAGAGCCTATGGAAGTGGAACCGATCACGCATAACCCAACGATCGTCGCTGAGAATAACTTACTGCAAGCTAGCAGCAATCAAGTCCCTGCGAATCTCTTATCTACCCCATCACCGATTCAGAACACTAATTTGCTCAGTCCAACCAGTCAACAAACTCAGCCTATCAATATTGTGAATACTAATCAGCCGCCTATACAGATACAGATTGGTATGGCTCACAGTCAGACACCTCCATCTTTATTAAGTACGTCAGAGGCGTCTGCGGTTCCAGATTTGGAAACGGAACTTCGAGAGTTTCTAGAAAGTGATCCTACATTAGGACATTCACCGCTTCACGACGACAAAACATTGGAGGATATTTTATCTGAGTCTTAATGTGCACGATTCTTAAGATATATGATTTTTATTGAAATATACCTCCTACAGGTTGTACATTTTATTACATATATACAGTAGGTTTAATGTCAAGCGTTCGGCTAATAAATAAGATCGTACTCTGTAATGTAACGTCATTCAATCAATACCGCGTTTATTTTGTATGGATATATATGTATTATTTATGAAGTTTGCGTAACGAATCATGTTAAACGAAGCTTTATAAAGTTTGGATAAAGTGTATTTGTAATATAAGATATTATTCGATTGGAATGTTGCAACAAAATGTTTTAATGAAATTGTCCAAAGAATTTAAAGACAAAATCTACTTCTCTTTCTTTTAATTCGTAGAGAAGAGTATATTTATAAAGAGTAATCATTATTAATTATTGATAAGATGTTACGCAAACAAAAGTTTGTATTCTAAGAGCAATTTCTCGATATGAAAATACATTCATTCTTTGTTAAATTTCATTGCAAATTATGAAATAACGGAATACCGTTGTTATTTTAAAACGAGACGATATGACAGAAAGTGTAAATATTCATAAAGTGTATTTTTAAAAATGATTCTTGTATTCTTTATATACCATGTAACAAATATGTGACCACTGAAAGTATTATACTTTAGCTTGAAGCTTTCAAGGATATTAGAGTTTTGAACCAGACTATCATATACTTTTATGGATTCATTTACTAAGGGATATTATGGAAAGGGGAACGAATTGCTATATGTATATACAGATGTTTCAGGAAAAGTCTATCTACTCTAATAAAATATTGTCTCTTGTTACTGGGTGTGATTAATTAATTTCTCGAAATTTATGAATCTACTGTAATAGCTTGAATTCTTTAAGAAGCTAAATCAACGTTGACAAGACAAATAACATACGATAAGTTGTAACGAAATTGTATTTATTCTTTAAAAAGCATTCGTCGAATCGTATATTATAAAAATTTGAATTAACGATTCGTCCAACATGGCCGCCAACGGTATGAATATTAACGAAATGATAAGAACTGTATGTCGATATCTTTATCGAATGATCGATTGTTATGTCGTTATGTTCGTTAAACTTCTATTGAGTACACTTAATGTACGAACATTATTGTTATCGAGTATTGAATACGGAATTCAATATCTCGCTACTTTATTTCGAATAATAAACCGAATTGAGGAAAAGCGGTGGAATGCGCATTGACTGACCGCGAACAATTTCGATACAAAGGAATATGAAGAAATGAAATATAAAATTTAAATTTATATAAAAAGACTTACCTAGTACTTTTTCCTGCCTCAATCAAACATCACACGCCCACAGGAAAGGCTTCTTCACTATTTAACGACAAAATTACGACACTGAAAATCGCGGGTTCGCTTACAAAGATTTCGCGCACGTAGTACTGAAACTCTCCGCATGGTAGCGTTAGCAACACCTTTCCTCCAATCATTGGCTTTACATCGAAGAAGACGCACTATTGACTTCAAGCCGCGGAAAAATTAGATTTTTAACATCAATTCGAATGAGACTTAATATATTAACAAAACAATTATTTAACTAATAATATATAAACCTAATTTCTTCTTTAAATACAAATTCCTATTTAATCTATAATAGGCTATATATCGTATACAGCCATAAACTGAAACGATATATCGAAATATATTTTAAAATATATTTCGTAAGATTCGAACGTCACGATCGTCCAATGAAATTACGAAATTATGGAATTAAACATCCAATAGTCTTTCAGACTTTTTTAAACCCGTTTCCATACCGCGTCTTAAATTTTTTCACACTCGACGTCGTATATTATAATAATAAGCTTAATAGCTACAATCCATTGACACGATATTCATAATCAAACTCATTTCTCCGAAATATCCTGTTCGCCAGTTGGGCCAAACCGTGTTCCACTTTAGCAAGCGATAAAATGGACGAAACAAGCGGCCCTCTAATTATTTCGAGCGGCAACCGCGAAACTGCTTCCTCTTTCGCATTGTACAGAAATGTTATTTATGCAGCGTGCAAAGTGCAGAGCGGCGCGACCTGGTCGATTGTAGCTGTGTAATGCGATATTCACAGGACGAACGCGTAGGAATAGCTGTAGCTGCTCGATAATAGGATTACGCCAGTAAAGCGTGGGGCTAATTTGAAAATTCCGCGTGCTCCGGCCCCCGCTATAAGTGTGATTCACTGTAATTACGTCGTTATAACGAAGTAGACAAGTTTGAGTATGGAAAACCGGAAACTCGATTACCACGGGCCGAATCTCTCCGCTCTCGTCATGGCTGTCTAACTGTTCCATTAGCATTTCATCGCGGGGATGGAAAAAGTTACGAAAAACCGTGTCGGGGACGTTAAGGTGGCATACCATTATGTAACCTTCAAATAGTCCACCTTTTTCATTGCCTTCAAAAATTTTTCGACCGTTGCTGCGTCGAATGGAAAAAGTCCAGAGTTAAAATTCAAAAAATTGCGCCACTGCAGCACCTTTGTCTGCGAACCCGAGATTAAATTTGATCGATAAGTAAACATTTTTATGAACCACATGTTTAACCACAGTTTTCTCAAAATGCGTTTTTGACTATAGTGGACAGCATAACAAATGAACCGAAGTTCCAATCACTGTGAGATTTTTTGAGCATATATTTAAGACACGTGGCTGTGATATTAACCATCGATTGGGAATGTAAAAGTTCAGGAAATTTTTCGAGCAAATTATGTCTTAGAAACGATGTATCTTTTTCTATCATCTTCAATTTCACAATTTTATCAATTGTAAATTTCGCAATTTCTATTTGAACTTGTTTGAAGCTTTAAATTTGATAACCGTGGCTAGAGCGATAGCCACTTTGTTTGCCTATGTTATACTGATCTGTCCTTTGCACTCGATGATTTTTTGGCTAAAGAAGGGTACGAGTTGAAAAATTTTCTGCTATAAGGCTGATGATGTTTTTTGAACACTAAATAAAAATCGTATAATAATTAACAAGTAAAATTATTTAATTTCGATACCTGTTACCCGGGAGTACCCTCCGCGTACTGTTACATTATTTTAAATTTGATATATCAACTAATATCTTCGAAATTTTATGAAATGGCGACTGAAGGGGGCCTCTCGAGTGCAAAAGGTTAAAACAAGGCGTTGAAACGCATTCGACGTTGTTCTATTCTTCCATTTGTGGTAAAGACGGATTAATAAATCGAAAGGAACTTTTGATGCAGATTATATCTTATATTTCTTGTCGGACTGATAAAAAGTGTGTCGTCGAATCTTTCGGCCCGATTTTTATAGGCCCTATGACAACTCATTAGGTCATTCAACCCAGCTTCGAGAATTGATAAGATAACAGATAATTCCTCGAAGCGAGGATAGATCTCGATAACGCCATCCAAATAAAGATACCTCTTACACATTTCACATTTTCCTTTTCCAACGACGCGAATTTTCCGAGTCCTCGAAAAGCACTCCGATATTCGATCTCGTAACGTTCGACGTTAACGTCTGCTTTTACATTTCGTTTTTAATTCTCTGGAAACGTTTAAACTGCGATACTTATTAAATTTCTCCCGTTCCTCGCGCCCCCTCTCGATAATGAGACGCGCTGTTCCACGATCGAGATCCCGGTTTGTTTAAATTTCATTTCGACGTCCCGACGCCCGAGCGTAAATAAAACATTCCGATAACGAAGTTTGCCGTCTTCCATGCCCGGGATTTAATTTAATCCTCTCGAGGCGGCAATCTCGAGGAGGTATTCCACTCGCAGCGATCTCTGCAGCTCGATTTCGGCTCGGGGAGTCTGCTCGATTCGGGATTCCGGCTCTCAGCACGGTGACAACAATAATTCTCGCGAAACGAACATAGCTGGGAGAGCATAGTCGGCATCTCGCACTGACAGGTTAATTAAGCGACGATTCCGTTCTTTCGAGAGCAACGGGCCCCTGGAAATGGCGTGCTCGCGTGGTTTCCGAGCGGAAGCTCGTTCCGCGAACCGCGAGCTGAGCAATTATCATTCTTTGATATCTGCCCGTGATACCACGTGATAAACGTTTCTCCCGTTTCCCTGCGCGATCGAGATCCGCGAATTTGCATAGAGTCACGTGAGGCTGGGTAGCTCGTAACATCGACACCCGTGAATTATTTGCTCGTCAGAGATGGAGGAAATTATTTCGTCACTCGAGTTCCTTGTCAGGTAGGCTCACAAGGAGAGTGCAAGTCCTTCGGGTCACCGATTTAGTTGCAACTTTGCAGGTATGTAGATATCTTCATGCAGTTTAAGAGAATATATCATTATAGCCGCAACTACTCAATAGTTTTTGAGATATTTGCGATTAAAGTTTTATTACTTGCTTAATTATACATTTCCTTGTAATGTGTTTCAATTTAACTTGTATCGTAACGACGACGATGGAGAATTGCTAAAGTGGAGGACCGGCGTTCCATTCCCGTCCCCATATTAGGTTTGTGATAGCTTTTTCAATATATTATTTTGTATTCATTTTTCATTGTAAATAAATAATTGTAATTAAAATTTCTTAATAAAAGAAATTATTTTTTACGTTTTCTTATGCTAGTATATATTTATTACAAAATAATAAGAATATTATGCAAGAAAAATACTTTTCTATAGCAATCTTATTTACTACAGGAAATACAAAACCTATTGCTCATGTAAGTATTAATTATTAAATTAAACATCGTATAAGAATGTTGCCTATAATTCCAACTTTGCTCTGCAGCTATAAATGTTCACGAATTAATTACAAAAACTTGGCAATTTATTAATTTTCTACTGTCCAATTGATTTCTAGTATCCAGTTCCAATAAAAATTTTACCGCCTGCGATCAGCGCCATCTATGATTTGGGTTCAAAAATCAAGAAAGTAATAGGAATATAGAATAGGCAAGGAAGTCGTCGAAGAGCTCAATTGGTAGACAAGGATAGAAAGGGGATAGAAAAGGATGAAATGGCTCCGGCAGAAGAAAAGTTATGAAACTTTGAGCCCTCATTATAAATCAATGTTCTTGCGAATGTTCTCATATAACTTTTGATCACATTTTGCTTCTAGTTTCGTTTAGTATTAAATATTTTCACGGAAGATCGTGGTTACGAAATCATAGACGCCATCAAACAAAAATTA